TAGGTGACATGGTGAAGTTTTAGATGAATTGTAAGTTGATTGCTAATGATCAACGAGACAAGAAACGTAAGTAGTTCACCTTAGCTGATAGATTAAGGTTACATCCACTATCAAGGGAGTCTCCTACTTCTTAAGTTTGTATATTATCTATCCTGAGGTATATATATCGAGAAATTGGGGACACGGGATCTTTTACAAAGAGTGAGTATTTTGCTTCATTTACTGGCTCTCATTAGTTCGCGAATGCTTATGAGAGAGGGAAGAGGGTCATCCCTTCTCGTTTGGTAACAGTTTTCTATTTATACTAAGATCTTCCTAGGGCTTTTGGTTATTCTTCTCTTGGTGTTGATCCTATGAGTCCTTCCTTCTACACCCTGCTGCTCCTTCTACTACTGTTGCTACTGTTCATTCGGTGTTGTTGTTCATCCGACACCCTTGTTACCACGATCTCTGGTGATTATGTTCCACCCTCTCTGCTCTGAGACTATCATAGGTGTCAGAGATAGTCCCTCGAACCCTTAAGATGTGTGGTCTTCACAAATAACCCAAGAATGACATTTGGACCAGATTTTCAATCTTTGGGCTGCTCATCAGTTGGGTTGTGCCTGAATTGTTAAATTATAATACTAAGTCTTTTTTCTCGGCCTTAGCCTTTTGGACTCGCTAGGCTTCTGGGCCATGGAGGCCTGCCTTGGATTTCGCCCACATCAGGCTCGAATTGCAACAGTGATCCAATGGTTCAAGATTCTGGAGATGGGCTCATAGCCCATTACCTCAGAGAGAGAAATCGAAGAGTATAAATGTTGGCATTGCGCTCGAAGCTCCACAAACAAACTACAAACCAATGAAAACGAACTACAAACAATTCAAGAATATTAAAAACTTCCAAAAAAAAGACGAATCAAATCTGAAAAATAATAGTATTCTTTTATAAAAATATTCCCAAAATAATAGCATCACAAAAATAATTCCCATAATAAAGTTGTTGCGGCCACATGTGCTGCCACGTCAAAGAATAAATAGGACCTTGGTTTTTAACAATATTATGTTGACCAAGATTTTTTATTAAATTTTTTATCGCAAGTAATGTAACATAATTTTTATTATCAAATAAGTTGATCATATTAATATTTAATGATAGAAATTGTGTCACGTCACTTAGAATGAAAAATTTGGTAAACATAACATTACGAGCAATGCTATTGGGATCTAATTTGCTGACCTAATTCACTATAATTTTTAGATTGATTGTGGAGCCCATCAAACATTTAAACTTGATGTTGATCCAATAATTCTGCTGAATGCATATTATTATATCAACAAATTAGTCAAATTTTTAAATCCAAATAATTTTACTCTAACATTACTGGTTGGTTCTTGCAGCTTTTACAAGTTTTGCCAGAGGAGAACCGATATTTCCATGGCCAATCAACATCTGTGATTTTAAGGTCTCTCTCTCTCTCTCAACAAACTCTCTTCGAAACAAGTTTAGAGAAAACGAAAAAACCATTTGGATTGTTCTCTCCGCTTCTGCATTTGTTATGTATTCTCATCATCTCCTTCCCACACATCACCCCAATCCATCATTTCCATCTTCGAGAATTGAGATCTCATACATTTTCGGACGATGCAGTTGGTACAGTGAGCGAGGAAATGGGTTTATGAAGAATTGAATGCTTTGATGATGATTAATACAAAATTGAACTCCCAACATAGCAACCCATTTGTCCACATAATTATACACCTGGCAAAGAATACTAAATAAGAAATTTGTTTTAAAAGACTGTTAGTTTGGGAATTTTTTTTAAAAGAAAACATTTTGGGAAAAAAAAACTCATTCTTGAAAGAATGGTATGGTTGCACAACTTCCGAAAACGAATATAAAATGGGAACACAGATAATAAGCATAATCAACAAAACAATAGTATAAGATGTCCATGAAAGGAAGAACAATCAGGGGCTAGCAAGAGAGAGAGAAAACTCCCCTAGAATCTCATTCAAAACAATACCCTCAATACAGAAAACTCCCCTGAAAACCTCTCAAAGAATCCAACTAAATGTATAATAACCCAAATCCGAATAAAAGTGTACCATGATGGCACGGGTAAAAATGATAGCAGCAAGTGAATAAGTAATATGTAGAGACAGAAAAGAGTAAGTGACAGAGTGATGGAGAGACATCCATCTAAAGCAACAAACAAAGGACAGCCCATCCAAACACCAAGCTTCCAACCATCTTCTGCATGCACCACATCTTCTCTACCCCACTCTGAAATATACCAGTTTCAGGATTAGAGAGGACAATGTAAAAGCATTATAGTTTCTGATGATATACTAACAATAATGTTTAGAAATTCGCGAGAGTTGGAATCTTCTCACTGCAATTCCAAATAATTAGTAAGCATCTTCTTTATTTCGTACCAAAAATATTTACTAAGCATCATAACAGGGCTGCATTTTTCTCATTATTTCTGAAACAAACTATTAATTTCACTCTAACAAGTAAACCTTTCGATAATAAGGATCATTTTTCATGGAAATAATCAACAATTTGGCACACAACTCAATTTTTTTTCTTTATTTTAGTAAGAATAACATCTCATAAGGACACGACGAGGATGATAATATCAAAGAGTAGAAATCCAAAAAGATATGAATGATTCAATGAATTCTATAAACCACGTGGTAATAACCTGTTTGTTATATATATATATGAACACACATAAGCACATTGCATTTTGCTAAGCAAGTGCAAATCGTGCAACCACATAGTTTTTAAGTAAAGATAAGGACATAAACAACCCAGCCTTTCACTGAAACTGAAGCCCATAGCCGAAGCTGGTACAAAATCATAAAACAAATGTATCAACAAATATAAATAAAAATCTTCAGCTTGAAAGTCATCCCAACCTTGCTGTCGTCAATTTTAAAATCCACAATGGAAGCTTGAGAAAAATGTAAAATATATAGTTCATACACCGACTTCAATTAATGTCATCGTGTAGAGGTCAAAAATCTGTTGGAAAACAAAATTAATTTTCTAGAATGGTCTAGTGGTATATTAATGTAGCATGTTGTGCAGGAGGGACATCTTAATGTTTTAGTTGTTACCAGAGTAGTTGAGAAAGTGGTGTGTTAATATAATATTTGGAGATACGCTTGGAACCTGTAAAAATAAATTTGTGTACTAGTGTTTAAGGTAAGTAAAATTGAGTTAATCAAGTTGAAGGAAAAAAATTTAGTTTGTGTTCAATCTCGTGTTACTTCCGTTGTTTTCTAGATTTCGATAATACAGTCTTAAGCACTCTTGTATCCGAAAAAATGGTATCAAATTTATGTAACTATTCCAACACAATCCTTATGCCAACACAACAATCAATGAACATTAAAAATTAATATCTCTTTCCCTACATCACATGTTTTAGAAGTCATGAGGCCTTAATTGATTCAACATGAAATTTAGCAAATTATATGGATGCTACATTTCCGTTTTCAATGTTTTACAAACTCTCGATATGTTCTTTTCTATAAAATTCATGTTTTTTTAATTTTTACCGATTATTTTGTGTTAATGAGATGAGGTGAATTAGAATTTACAAGAGTAGCTTTCTTGTATTAATACTTAAAAATAATTATTCCTTGGGAAGAACCACCTATCATATTTACTTACAAACACAATAAAAGAAAAAATAAGATTTTCATGTATTTCTCACATGGATCATACAACAAAGAAAATGTTACGAGTTCATTAAGTTACTAGAGAGCAGCATTTTTTCTTTATTTTTTGATATCATACTATCTTACCAGACCCAAAAAAAAAAAAAAAAATATACCACATACTGTCGTCTGATTATAGCTATTGCAGATTGAATAACTCAAAATCCACCTACATCACCTGATCTACTAGTCTCACTGAAAATCATGTGACAACTACTAGCAAACATGAGGAAGTAGGCTTAGTTGTTTAAAGCACTCATTTTTTTTTTAAAGCACTCATAGCATAAATTCATTTTACTTTATTTCTTTTCAATTCTAGAATGCAATGCTAAAAAATTTCATGCAATAAGCGTAGAAACAGAAATGCTATGAGTGCCCAAATCAAATTCCAAATAACTCATCCACATTTAACTGGTAGCTCACATGAGAAGAGATTTTTTTTCATTTGTGATTTGATTTGGCGGGCATAGTATTTCTAGTGTAGAAAAGCCTATTATGCAAGGATATGTATCTGTTCATACATACATTTATGATAGGTACAGTCTACACTCATTGTGCTTGTATGACTTTCCATGTATTGTATAATAACAAATTGAAAACATTGATTGATTGTTACACAGCCAATCGTTTACACTGTGAAAAAACAATAAGGAATAAAGCAACTTTTAAGAGAGTAAGAAGTCATTGAAGGATGGTGACAAAATACAAGGCACAGTTGGTTGCCAACACGATTTCAGATAATTTTGACTTAATGTATTACGTATGTGTGTCATTCCAAATGTAAGTCATACAATCCTGTTAGAACAGAATACTCGCTATAGAAATCTCAACACTTCACGGATTTGGTACGATATAATTAGTAAGAATCGTTGTGATGCAATTTCTCGATGTATTACCCCACCCCCCATGAGGAATCCACTGTTGGAATTACTCTTATGTTACTTTGGTTGGAAAATCGCTTTATTTTTCAACATCCACATCATAGTGATCACATGTGATAGGTACACCCTCACCCCCATCCACGTCCCCTGTTCTCCACTAGATCACCATCCCCACCACTCTTCTCCCTTTTTTCTCCCCCTAGGCCCACCCCGGGTGAAATAGATGACTTGCCCAATGATGATCCATGATTACTAAACAAGCACCATCATTAATACAGCAGCAAGATCTCCGATCACATCAAAGGAGTCGACAAGGAAGCGCTAATAGGCTACTACCCATCGAGGAGCGCAGTGCACTAGTAGTCAGGTGTAGTAAATTAATGGTGGTGGTGGTGTGTGCAGATCACTGGTGGGTGTGTCTGCTCTCACAATATAGCTGCGGAGGAAAGTGATAATGGTATAGACAATGCAAGTGGTGTGTTATTGAAAATATGACAATTTATGGGCGATGTGGGTGAAATTTGTCTTTTTACTTTTATGTAGTCAAACAGAACCTTTACGAGTTAGGAACTCGAGAACCAAGAGCGAGAACTTCGGTACCACACAAAGCACGAGAAATTGGTTCACGTTAGATAAAAAGTATAGCGATCCCTATCATACGCCGCATGTTCCTATACACCCTTTAACAAGCAAAACAACTTGACTGAACACTCAGCGACTTCAACTGAACTAAACTAGTTCGCGATCTATGATTGTAAGTACTCAGATCTACGCTAATGGCTCAAATCAAGTGCTTATAGTAATCCTGGGTGCATGTTAGAGAAGAGTAATTGACAAAAGAAAGCAAAATTTGAGAAATACACGCACCTGATCCGGTGCTGATGGTGAAGGCGACAATGGAACAATACTCGGCGCCGGGGACCCGGTCGGCGGCGCAGGAGGACTTGATGGCAACGGAGTCGTCGCCGGAGATACTGGCTTCGTGCTAGGAGCCGTAGCTGGAGTAACAGCTAGTGGGGATAGAGATGGAACAGCCAGAGGAGGCGAAATTACCGGAGGTGGTGGAGTGTTTGGTACAGGAGGAGGAGTAGCCGGTGGTGGTGCGCTCACTGGCGGAGGAGTAGCTGGTGGTGGTGCGCTCACTGGGGGAGGAGTAGCTGGTGGTGGTGCACTCACTGGGGGAGGAGTAGCTGGTGGTGGTGCACTCACTGGCGGCGGAGTAGCTGGTGGTGGTGCGCTAACTGGCGGCGGAGTAGCTGGTGGTGGTGCGCTCACTGGCGGAGGAGTAGCGGGCGGTGGAGTTGAAACTGTAGGAGGCGGCGTCGCCGTTGGAGGTGGCGTTGTTGTCGGTGGTGGAGTTGCCGTTGGTGTCGGTGGCGCGGCAGTGGTGGTTGGAGGAGGAGCAGTGGTAGTAGGAGGAGCCGGTGTTACAGGAGTTGATGAAGGAGATGTTGCAGGAGCTTGGCCTCCGACACCGGCGACGACAATGCAGACAAAAGCTATACCAAACAATGACTTGCGATCCATCACGAGAGGGGTTTATCCTACGCACTCTCTCAGCTCTTAACCTGCGCACTGGTGGCCGAAGGTTGACAACGTGTAGAGAGAGATTGACCGTGCGTCTGAATCGAGGAGGGAACAGACTATATATAGGCCCCTCCGGACCGTAGTGTATTGGAAGGTGGCTGGTCTCTACCAACAAAACAACCAAACTTGAATCGCCCGTTACCGTCTGATTACATACTTGTGATAGGGTCCCACTGTTTCATTAGCGGATCTCAGATCCAGTGGCTACCGTCTGATTACAGTCTGTTGTTATGTAAAATGGGTCCCACTGTTCCTTTATGAGGAACTCAGATCTGATGCCAGCTCATCATCATCACCGAACAGTACTGGCAAAATTAACTTTTCATCGTACAGGTAAAATCCTGGGGGTGTTAATCGAGTATTCAGAGGTTGAGATCGTATTTGGTGGATTTTTTTTAAAAATTAATTTCAATATTTATTTAAATTTGATTCCTTTAGAACTCAAGTTTTAGTAGTTTAATTATTTTATATATAACTATAGTGAAGGCTCGTTTTTTTAAATAAATCTAAAAAATTATTCAAATTCAATTTATTAAGAACACAAATTGAGCTTGAATCGAATTTTATCTGAGTAGAAACCGAGTCAAATTTAAATAACTTGTCTCGATTAACACCCTTAATTACAACCTACATCAATCGGTAATATGAAATTGTATCCTGACAAATTATAAATTCAAACGTCAAGAGTTTGATTATCGCTAATGTCGCTCAATTTAATTAATAAGAAAATTTTAGTCACGACACTAATATAATTTAGACTTAATTAACAAAATTTATTTACTTAATTCATTATTATTACGAGATTGATATTAAATCTCAATATTAGCTGAGAAGCTACAAGCTATGACCTAAGACTCATTATCACTACGAGTAATACTACACTAATGAAAAAAAAAAGGCTCAAATTAAAGTATAGATGGTACATTTAACGTTTATAGATTAAATCACATCATCAATGATATTTGATATCATCGATGAATAACAATATTCATATCACATTTGTCCATTAGGATTATACTAGAGTAACAACATGGTATATGTATTGCTTTTATTTTCATCCAATCACAAAATAATAAAAATTTTGTTCTTTTAATTATTAATAATTACAAATTATTTAAATTTAATATCAGCGGTTAAAAATTATCTATATAATAAAGTACAATATAATTTAAATCTCAAAAAATAAACAAAATGACTTTTGCTATTCGCAGTTGAAATTTCTTTAAATTTTATTTTAAAGTTAATTTGACGGCTAAAATTAAAACCTCAAATTTAATAGGAAAAATAGATCTTTAAAGGTGTGTTTAGAGTGACTTTTTAAAAGTGTTTATAAGAATTATATATCATTAGTACTTTAAAAAAAATGGCGTTTGAAACTATCCTACCACTATCTCTATCACCATCACTATAACCATCACCGCTCAACCACCATCACTACTATCACCACTACTGCCACAACCTCACTTCTACCCCACCCCCACCACCACCATTATCACCACTATCGTTGCCACCACCCTATCACCACCGTTGCCCCACCACCGCCCCCAACCATCATCACTACCACTACCACCACTGCTCCACCACCCCACCACTATTATCCCTATTACCACTATAACTATTGCACCTTACCATCATAACTACCGTTGTCGCACCTTATCATCGCCGTCACTGTCTCACCATCACCCTTACCATCTTCACTGCCCCATCATGACCCCCCACAACCATCACAAATACCACCATCATCGTCAATCCACCACCGCCACCCAACTCTTACTGTCTCCACCACCACCACTACCACCATCGCTACCCACCACTGATTACTACCATTGTCATTCACTGCCACCACCCACTATCACCATCATCTTATTTTTATATTTATTATTATTATCATCATCATCTCACTACCGCCATTGCCCATCGTCAACACCCATTACTACCATTATTCCCCACCGTCAACACCCATCACTACCATTATTGCCCACCGTCAACACCCATCACTACCATTATTGCCCACCATCACCCACTACCACAACCCACCACCACTTGTCATCGCACACTATCGCCACCAACTATTATCACCCATCTCCACCACACCTTCCACCACCATTCGTCATCGTCCACCACTGTAGCCACTCACTATCACCTACCCTCACCACAATTACCACTCATCACACTGTTGACTAGAAATATTCATCGTCGCCCACCACCACTATCATCACCACCAACCATCACCATCGTCACCCCCCACCACCACCATCACTGCCAACAACCATCACCTTGTCCACCACCACCCCCACCTTCACCCATAGCTGTTACTACCATTATCATCATCCAAAAACCATCACCACCGTCACCGTTGTCTCCCATGGCTATCACCACGACCATTGTTGTTGCCACCCCACCACAAACCATCATTGTTTCTCACCATCATAACTGTTGCCCACCACCACTAACTCCGCTCACGTCCATTGCAATTGATTTTTAAATTTTTTATATCTCATTTGTATTTGTGATTTAATTTTAAATATAAATAGAAATATGTTTATTGTTGCCTATTTTTTTATTACTATGTACTTTTTTGCACGAAGAATAACTACTTTTTAAAATGATATCAATTTTTTTCGGTTCTATAATATTATTCTATCGACTATCTTTTTCAATATAGTATGTTTCACCATTGCAACAAAGGAAAACACTATAGTACCTAAAAAAATTAGTGTACCGCAAAGTAAAATATACCCCAAAATGAATTAAGTTATATAAAAAAAGAGTAATAAATTTTATCCAAAAAAATAATACGTAAATCTAAAAGATGAGTGCATATTAATTTTTTTTCTTTTAACCATAGTCCATCCCTACAGTGAATATTTACTTTTAAACCTACAGCAATGATGGTCGAATTGGAACAATAATACAGTTTGATCTAGTGGGGCCCAATCAAACAAATGTGGAGGGGCCAACGGCAGCTGTTAATTAGCGGCAGGTTCGGTAGAGACAGCCAAATGCAGCTGATTATTTCCTCAGCACCGTTGTTGTGCTGTGGGGCCCTGGGTGCTGTTGGGCCGAGATGCGTGCCTTTGAAGGATAATCTTGACAAAAGCGAAAAGAGGCTTTGATAAGGTGAGGAAAGAGAAAAGGAATAATTACGGTATTAAAAAAATACTTTTCTTATTTTTAATTTATCCAAATTATATGTGTAAATATTTGTAATATTTTGTTTTATTATTTTTAAGATAAACGTTCATGAGTAAATTAGTACAACCTCTATAATTAAGATTTATTTTTTAAATATGATGCCCATATTTTTTTGAGTAATGCTACATAAACTTAAAAATTAGACTTGATAATCTCAACCATTGAATAGGTAGTGGGTTCCAATAAATGTTGGGATCTACACTGAAATAAATGGTTGAGATTATAAAGTTTAATTTTTAAATCTATTTTTTAAGTTCATGTAACATTACTCTATTTTTTTTATAAGTAACATAAATCTAATTAAGAAAAAAGTTAAGAGGAAGGTGAAAGCAAGCATCCAACCATTAAGGTCGGGTTAGCCCTAGTGATAGGCGGTCACTTGATAGATGTCTTAAATTGATATTGGTCAAAAGTATGATATTTTGTAAGGTGAAAATACTTTTTAAGGTCAATTTTCATAGATTTAATTCTTATGTGTGGAGATGAGATTCTGTGAGTGGATTCAAGTTAACTACTGGTTACAGACCTAAATGGACTCGGTTAGCAAGGGTTTTTGGGTTATCACCAAAAAAAAAAAAAAAAGGATCCAACCTTCAATTATAGTAACAAAAAATAACTATTTGGTATTTTATTTTTATTTTTTATCTAATAAAAATATAAAATGTGAAATTTTATTTTATTATTTTTTGAGTAATGTTAAATTGACAAAAAATAGAGATATGTGACATTACTGTAAAATTATTGTTGATTTCATTTTTACATATTTTAAATTTAAAATTTTTTATTATAATAATATCACGTCATTTGGTTATAATTGTTTTCTCAGTTTTTATCAGTCTAATGCTACTTTTATTTTATTAATTTAACTAATTCCATTTTTTTTTAATTTTCTTTTTGGGACGTACGTAAAGCAAATGTGGTAATGAATTGTAGCACAATTTCTTTGATGTACTGCATTGCTGTATTGGTGGGATCCAGCTAAGGAATGAGACTGAGTGACTAATGAACTGGACAGACGCGTCTAGTTTTGGTTGGTACAGGTTAAAAGTAGTGTGGTAAAGCTTTGCTTGCAATTAAATTTACCTTGCATTCCCCACAAATTTCTCGTGACCTTTTGCTTATGTCACTTACGAAAAATAATGTTATTTTGGTTTAATTTATAAATTTAATTTATCATAATTATAGAATTAATTCTAAATTCTAATAAATATTTAAATTCACTATCAATTTAATGATTATTAGTAATTAGCTCAACACATTATCCACTTATGAATTTGTGTCATCATACAAATCATCCTTCAAAGGATAAATTATACTAATACTCTCAACAATTGTTTCAATTATCGGATCAACTCTCCCACATTTAATAAACGAATTTTGTGGCGATGTTGGAGTCCCAATGTCGCCCGCATATCTTAGTTGATAGTGTGATTAAGAAAGGGTATTCTTCGTAACACGATACATGCACATAATATGGATCTAATATAAAATTAATTTTTATGATAGACTATTTCCTCATGCAAATTCTTAAAATAACATGATTTACTAACACAATTAATAAATAAGTTGGACAATATCAAACATGAATAGTCTAATTTTAAGATGATACTCGATTAATTAGTATTGTATAGAGATTATATTTGACTTTTTCGTCATTTTTTTAATGTTTTGGTGATGTATTATATGAATCTTTGTAAAATATTTTTTTTTTACTTGAATATGCCATTATATGGACCGGTGTATTTTTAGTTTACAGAAAGCCTATTGGTTGTGTGTTAGTCCAGAAAAGAGATTTTGTTCTTAAGTTTCGTCTTAACAAGTTTCTTGTATACACTATACACACACACACACACTATTATATTAAAAAATATTTAC